CAGCAAGAAAGAAAGAGATGAACAAAACAGCAACAGCGCTCATTGCTACACGTCTGAAAGCAATGGACTGTATGGGGAATAAGACTGATATTAGAAGTGTTGAATAAGATCAGATGTTGGATATGCTTTCAGGCGGTCCTGCTTCACGTCTATAGGGGGTGAAGTGGCGCCAAGTCTCTGGATGCGGAAAGTACCAGGACGCACTTCTGCCAGTACTTCATAAGACCCTTCGTAACGTGGAGCTAGCTTCAAAGGTTGCTCGACCCTGCGAGCAACAACCGTACCAACCGGAAATAAGCAGACGTGCTCAGTAGAGAAAGATGAGCTATTATTGGACATATGAGATTGAAAGAAAGGACAGCGGGGAATAATGTTGAGCAGCATAGAGTAGGGTGATTCACCAGTAGTGGAGTTCTTGGTAGCGTTCATACGGTAGACGACGGAGTCCGCGTGTAGGGTCCAATCTTTCTCACCAGAGGAATAGAGACATCATGGAAGGTACGATGGGGTCGCTCTGCAGCGGAGTTAGACTCCGGACTATACAGTGTGTTCGATTTTGATAGTCCAAACTGGGAAAAGTGCATATCTTTTCGAATACGCATAATTTCACAAGCAAACTTCCACATATTAAAGCTAATTAGATGTGAGAACTAAATGAATAGCTGATAGCTCTATATCGATCACCGTTTCACTTGTACGGGGCGTGGAAGGGATAACCCCACCGCGTGCTGTCCCGATTTGATAGTCTCAGCTGACTTCTTTCCATCATGGGTCGCGGAAAACTCCTCTCAACTGAAGAGCGTGCGGAGATCGTGCGTCTGCTGGCGCTAGGAAAGCCCAAGAGGGAGATCGCGGAGAAACTGGGTCGTTCCGAGCGAACTATCACAAGGTTCTTATCCAACCCTTCCCACCAATACTCCCGCCCTAAAGGACCCTACAAGAACTCGGTCACCGAACGTGCAAAGAGAAGCCTGAAGAGGACGATGTCCAAAAACCCGCTGAGTACCAGCAGGGAGATCTTCCAGGAGGCTGGAGTCCGCGAAAGGGCTAGATCTACCAGGTGTGCTGTGCTGAATAAAGTCGGAAAGGTGAGGAAAGCCATAGCCAAACCTCCTCTGACGAAAGCTCACAAAGAGAAAAGGGTAGCCTGGGCAAGAGACAACCTCAAAAGAGACTTTTCTTGGGTGATATGGACTGACGAGGCACGTGTGAGCATGGACGGGCCCGATGGATGGGCCCGGAGGTGGATCATGAGCGAAAGCCGCACGCCTTCTCGCAACAAACGCCAGCAAGGCGGGGGTGGACTGATGATATGGGTTGGGATAGTCGATGGTCGGGTGATTGGGCCAGAGCGCGTGAAACCGGGTGTCAAACTCAACTCAGAGAAGTACACCCGAGCAACACCGAGTCTGACACTCTGTTCACTCCAGATACACCGAGTTGCTTGATGGTAGCTTGATCTCCTGGCTGAAGAAAGAGCCCCTTGCGAAGAGGAGGAAGTACGTTCTGATGCAAGACAACGCACCGTCCCATGCATCTCGCTACACTAACGCATTTCTCGACAAAATAGGCCTCAAAGAGCACAGGAGGCTCCCCTGGCCTAGCAATTCACCGGATTTGAATCCGGTTGAAAACTACTGGGCGATCCTGAAGAGGTAACCGATGTTAAGTATTCATTCCGGAAGTCGTTCTTGGAATTTAGGAGGATTTACGCGAACAACAGACAGTATGACGACCTTGACACGCTGTGGGATGCAGTCCAGGCGGCGGCTAAGGCCATAAGCTCAGCTGAAGTCAAGAACCTCACTGACTCTGTCGACAAAAGGTTAGAGAAGCTTTTTATCACACGTGGTGGACATATTAAAGCATGACCCTATACGCGTTCTATAGTTCTAGGTTCCTTTCTAGCTATTTATGTTGCGTTGACTATCAAATCGGGACAGCACGCGGTGGGGTTATCCCTTCCACGCCCCGTACAAGTGAAACGGTGATCGATATAGAGCTATCAGCTATTCATTTAGTTCTCACATCTAATTAGCTTTAATATGTGGAAGTTTGCTTGTGAAATTATGCGTATTCGAAAAGATATGCACTTTTCCCAGTTTGGACTATCAAAATCGAACACACTGTAGATAGCCGTCCGGGCCTCCTGGATACATCTATCAGCACACCATTGAGCAAACCGATCAGAAAAGGCCTTGTCGTTATCGTGCATCAATAGTTCAGGGTATTGGCCATATGAAATCTTCCAGTCTTCAAGGGCTTTACAGACACTATCTGTTGTAGGGTGCTCCGTCGGATAGACTCGGAAGAGCCGAGTATACATATCCGATATTGTAACTGCGTAAGGGTATCTAGTATCACCATAGGGGCCGGTGAAGTCGATGGCCAGGTAGGAGAGCGGTTTGCGGGGTTGTGGGAGGTGTCCGAATATCTTACGATTATGATACGACTTGCATAATATACACGGTAGACACTGATACTTACTGCAGACCTTGGACATCCGAGGGAACCACCAATGACGAGAGACTAAATAGTAAAGAGCTTTCCGCCCCGGATGAGCGTAGTAATCGTGGTATCTTTGAAGTAGCGCATGTTGTATTTGCGATGGAACATAGATGCGTTGGGTGCCACTCAGATAAGCCAAACCGGTAGAATCGCCAACAATGATGTTTTTACGAAGAAGCTCTTCTCGTTCACGGCAGTACTGTCCCAGTTCTTCTCTAGTATACTTCAGTGAAGATTGGTCGGGTCTTGTACAGATCTTCTTGACCACAGGGTCGGCGTCGGTAGGGGAGATTTGACGTTGACGCTTGCCAGCGGAAGGTGATACCGTAGAAGGGATGACAGCAGCTTGTAGAGGTTGCACGCCGTCATGCTCAAGAGCTTCGGAGTCTCTCAGTTGGATGAGACGTTTGTGGAGATCATTACGGGTACCAATATCAGCCAAGTTGCTGTTAGTCTCGACATAGGTGAAGCATATAGTATTGAGCCGTTCTCTCATAAGTTCTCGGAGCAAGCGGAGCTTCTTCTCCATGTACACTTGCATTGGACCAGCATTGGTACGACCGTGTTGTAGAACTGAAAGAACAGTCTTGCTGTCTACGAGAACGTTGATATCCTTAAATAGAGAATCCATACGCATCTCGAGTAAGGCCAATCTCTGCATCGCTAGTAGGACCATCATTAATTCTTTGCAGTTTATATGGAGGGCGACCTCTGTCGACGTGAAAGTGTGTTGGCCTCGGAGAATTTCTTCACCGTTTTGGTAGAAGCGGTAACACCCGCAGTAAGCACCGGCGTCAGTATATACCTCAATAGGGAGAGTGACGTCGATGTGGCGGTGGATGATCGGAGGGGTGGCTTCTTTGAAAGCTTCATGAAATTCTCGCAGCATATTCAATAAGTGTGGTGGTAGTTTTGCATCCCAAGACGAAAGAAGATGGCGGCATTTCGCCACTTGAGACTGTAGTAAGTTGCGAATTGGTAGCAAGAAGAAGGGCAAGACCT